AGAGAGCCAGTGAATTGCGACGCTGTATCCGCAATTAATTGGAATGTCGTGTAGCGTTTTTCCAGATATCTAGTATCTTAATATTTAATATCTCAATGTCATCTCTTGAAATTCGAGTGACTCAATATGTGGTAACTATAAGCTTTAATATCTTCATTATCTCATTATATGTAATATTATTTATTAATGCCTAAAATCTGTAACCTAACTTGAATCAATAGAATACGTTTTGAAAAATTGAATGAATAAAGAAATTTAAAAAATTGAAACAAGTAAAATTATGTTATCAAAATAATTCCTTAATTTTATTTGAAAGAAAAAATACCTTATGTTAATCTGATTGTAACCTAAATTGGTTGATATGTAAAATTTACTATATTTTTTTAATGGAAAAATACCTTTATGTTAATCTGATTATATCTTAAGTTTCTTTAACTCACCCATAATAAGCATTCGCCTGTGTCGTTAGTTGCGTAAATACAGAGGTCGCTTACGACACCTCACCTAAACCTCACTTGCACAAGTTATTCGTTGTACATCACTTACACTTTACAGAACAGCGGATCGTGGGGTAAAATACTTTTTCTTGACGAAGTACCCTACTATCTCTTATAAAAGACCTTGTTCACTATCATTTGTTGACAACTACCTTAACTTCATATTTCCAGTCAGGTGGAAATATCAAGTGATGATAGTGAAGAAGTGTTTATATTTCTATTTATTTATTGTTATAATTGATAGCGATTTGTTACCCTGATTTATACCCAAAAGGACATAAGATATAATATAAAAATATTAAAGTGTTTCTATCTTTAATTTTGTCAATAATTTGACAAAGTTATAATATTCTTACTCTTTTTATTTAATAACAATAGGCTCTGTCTACTACTTAATTTTCTTTATTTTAATTCTTTCTTCTATATTTTTATTTCATCATATTAATCATAGAGACTCGTCGGCCTAGACCAAAAGGCATCAAATTTGACCACCACCAAAAACATTTGTGTATCAAATTATAGTTTTGACTTTCTCTCCGGTGATGAATAAATTCCATATACCAGCAGCAAATCGAATAAATTCGAAAGATTTTCGTTCACCTAACTACCAATGTGTATATGTGACCGGTCCATAACAATTCATTTAACTTGACCAATCATTCAGACACAAATAACCTGTACAACAACAAAGTAAATGTTTTCAACCAAAACATATTCTATAATTAGTATGCACATCACGATTATTTATTGACCATGTCACGTGTTTTCTTTTACGGTTGCAGGCTTTATGAGTCTAAGGCGTACTTTGTTGCCAAGGTTCAATGTTTTGTGTTTCAGGGTGATGTTTAATGTAAATAAGAAGTTATTTTCATGAACTTACTTTTCTGTTCACCTTTTTTATTCTTATATTTTAATACTGCATACTGATAGTATGTATAATATAGTATACATTCTTGTATGTATAGTATCTGAAAATCCTTTTTAGAGTAAAAAGGGTTATTTTTTAATTATAAAAACAAATTAAAAATAAATCCCTTCATATTGTCCATCCATGTATATAAAATAAATTAAGGTTTTTAATTTATAAAACTGTTTTCACATTTTATTATGAACTATTTTATATGTTTATTTATTTACTTTCATAAGTTGATAGTAATTGATTAAAGTACAGCTAAATTTAGAGAGGTTTATATAATAAATAATACGTTTCTAAAGTAAAATCAATTTACTTAAATCTGTAAATATACCAAAAATATAACTCATCACTCTCTGTACGTGGAAGACCATGGTGTGTCTTCCACCTACAGGGAGTGATGAATTCTATTACTAGGGGACTTTATTAAAATCATAGAAATAAAAAAAATGATTTTTAGAATATACGTCCGTTTTTCTTTGCACTTGAGGTGTTGATCTCAGAAACAACTTCTACGATTTGAATTTTCATTGATACAAAACAAAATTTTTAATATACTGTTAGTATTTTAAAAATTTTGTATTGTATCAATCTTTTTTAAAACTTATTAGTTATAAGGGTGTGCTAGCTGAGTCGACAACTTCGTGTAACTTACACGATGTTGTCGACTCAGCTAGTATCTAATATTATTCATCTATCCATAAATATACATCTTCACAGCATTGTTGCCACATCTTATGTGTCACAAAGGTCAAAGACTAGAGTGAAAGTGATTGTCGTCTCACAATAACTACCGACCATAATAAAACTTGAATAATCTCCACTTATTGTATAACTGCTCACACAAAATTATATAATATTATTTTAGTTCTTTGTGTCAAGGTTATTCGTAAGTGCGTTATGTTTATTAAAATGGATTTAGATTAATAAGTAGATTATTCTTTTTAATTAGGAATGTGAGATAAACATTAGATTATCAACATTAACACAATACACGGTAGCTGTTTGAAATTAGTCTGCTTCGTTGCGCATGTGAGATTTTTTTAACTAAATGAAGACTTACAATTGTTATTTTTGGAATAATATTTTTCCGTATCAATTCTTATCTATGTTAATTCGGTTTAAATGAAATATTTTCTTCTGAAGTATAATTTTAAAACACTTGGCATGTATAGTCGAAAGTTGACAGTTTTTTTTATTTTCTTATTATTTTGAAGAGTTATAGAAGGGTAATGTTTAATATCATATTAGTAAAATATTATAAAATGTTAAATAGAGATATGAAAAAATGATGCAATGAACTTCGCTATATGTCTAGATATTTTTTTGTATATTATATAAGTGTTTACTAACAGTTTTTATTATTGGTATTACTATAAAGTATCTATATCATTTGTACAGTCTAAGCTATCTGCTTAGTTTGGGACAAGATAGTACACGTGAATTGTTCAGATTTTATATAATACTAGCTGTGCCTGCGGTTTTACCCGCGTGAAAGGGTAACAAACATCCATCTATCCGTCCATCCACAATCACAAACATCCGTGTTTATATAATATTATATATATTAGTTAGATTAATTCTAGCATAAACTACATTAAGTATATATACGAAACATTCTTTCACTTTTAATACTACGTACCAAGGTAGATTTGTCACTAAAATTTAATGAACAGTCACCTTGTGATGTTGAACTCACTTGGGCATTTAACGATCATTGAAGCCCACTGTGACAATGTTGCAACACACTTAATGACGTTTACTGCCTAGACTATTAAATGAGCTCGAAACTACTACAAACTAACTAATCCAAAATAACTCGCCTTTATATACTATTCAGATATTTTTAGACCGACCCACCCCGCGTAACGGGAAGAGCTAAGCATGAAGAAGATGATATGTTTCATTTAGACGATTATATACTTCGACTGAGATTAGGACTAAGGCACTAAGATTCGTTCTCTGTAATAAAGTTATTTTTAATAAGTATTTAAGTGCTTTAGTGTTAGTTATTACTTATTGTTATACGTATTTTAGTTAATTACTGTTATTATATATTATAGATTCATGTAAGGCGTTTATTAAATTTTCGATTTAATTATGTGAATTAATGTAAGATAAGAGAAGTTAAATAGAGCGTATAAGATTGCAATGTTACATCATAAGTCGGAAAGAGTATGTGGTTATTATGATTCATACAATGAATTCAGAGTGTTGTGGTTTAGCGGTTAATTATCTGACTATGAATTCGTGAGATCGTGAACTCGTATCTGACTGACATAAAAATAAGTGGATTAATCGATATTTCTTACTGACTCTGTGGTAATGATACTGATAACAATTAAATATTAATCTGAGGAATGGCGATACGTTTGCCCCTACCTCATTGGATACAAATATAATCCGGAAAATATTAGCATTTCAATTTATGTTATAACATTTTAAACTCAACATTCATACATGTGCCATTAGTCCCAAACTAAGTAGGCGGGCCTGAGCTGAAATTCTTACCGCAAGCGGTGCCCTCAGATTAAAATCATATTTGTCAGGCAGATGGCCTTCAGCTGATTCATAAATGATTTCATTATATTTACTACCCCTTTGCATTTTCATCCGGTAAAGCTGTAAAGAACAGATTGAACAACAGCATTACAATAGTTAAAAAAGACAAGTTTATTCATAATGTTTGTTTATAATTTTATGAAATGAAATATAAAAATAAATGAAAATAAGACCTGTATATAAAATGAACCTATACTGTAATCGTACTTGGTTCTCGTCTCGTCTCTGGTACTTGCCCTGTGAAGAAGCTCCGTAATGGATATATTTATATATCTATTATATGACTTGATGTATATATTTTATAGGGCAGATCGAATTTTATATAAATATATATATTTTTAATTAATTCCTTGCGACAAATAAGTGTCGAGGTCAGTACTAACTGGTTTTAGAATGTTTAATAAAACTTGATTTAGAAATTGAAATCAGATTGAATTGATAAAATACGTTAATCGATAAGATCTTAATCTCAAAAACTTAACATATAGTCTTCTATTATTATTATTAAAATGTAGGTTGTACATTTTATCTAAAAAACTATATTAAATTATTATTATTACATTATAAAACTATTATTTCTCTTAGTCATTTAAAAGTTAAAAAAATAGATGAAAGGAACAATATGAGCTCAAACTACATTTTCAATTGATGATAGATTGAAGTTTGAGGTTATAAATACGATAATCTTTTGTTGATTTTATTTTATATATTTATATACTTTCTCTTCATAATAACTATTATAATGTGCATTGCAGACTTACTTTATTACGCAGACTTGCACTATCGTGACGCCATCTTGTTTTCAATATAATGCCGGTTACCATGTCGTTTATATGACGTAATGTGGCATGCAAAAATCGCATCTCACAACGTTCATAACTGCTCTAATATAGTGGCGAAAGGTGGTCATATGCTTCTGCAAACTTGAGTAACTTGGTGTGTGGTACCGTCTAGTTAAGTGTTAGTGAGTGGTGTTGGTCAGGTGTCGGTGTGTAGAGTAGTGTAGTGACATGTGGGTATGTGTGCAGGACTCGGAGGGCGATGAGCAGACCAGAGACAAAAGGAAGTTCGAGGGCGTCGCACAATCTAAGTTCGGCATCAAAAACGCTATCCTGGGCCTTGTTTTTGGAGTAAGTAATTCGTATTAAGTGGTATATTTGTAAGCTTTTCTGGCACAGAATAATTTTATTCGTATTGTAGGGCATCAATTCGCTGATCGACGCAAAAACAAGATTGGTGGACACTTTGGATAGACAGAACATTGAGATAAACAAGCAGTATGGTATTGAGACACCGCAGAATGGAATCGGCGGCTTCGTCGGCGCTATTGGGCAAGCCATTCAACCTAAGCTGCAGTTGATAGGCCCCAAACTTCAAACTGTTACATCTCTACTCGGCGGCGCGTCTGGTGCATCCAGCGGGCAAGGTGGGGCCGGCAACGGTGGTGTGGGCTCGTTCATCAGTCTTCTAACGTCTCTCTCAGGGTCCTCATCAGGCTCATCGTCAGGCGGCGCGGCCACTGGCGGAACTGTCGAAACTATAGATTCCTCCGAGGAAGATACCTCGTGAACATTTAAATCCATTACACTACAACACTCGATATCGATGTTCCTTTCTCTTATTAATTTGGTTAAGTTAAGAGAGAACCTAATATGAACGTCGTCTCAATCGAGATTATCGTTGTTTTGAAAGTTTTATCTGCCACATCATTGGTTTTTAATTGCAGGTATTTCGAAACAATGATAGTCCGCGTTGCATTTTGAGTGTCATTCAAAAGGTCTATATTCGTTTCGTCTATCACAGTTTTGGTAAGGTATTATAGCAGACTTTAAGTCTGTATTGGGATTGTTTCGTCATATTGGGGTGTACGCGTCGACGTATCGATATCGAGTGCAATAGTATATACACTCCTCTCCCTAACCCAGTTATCTCCTTACGCTGTACAGTATTTGCGGCCAATTGCACTCCCATTTTTGTATTTATATTGTAAATAGTTTTAGGTGAACGCTGGTGATATTAAACGTTTCCTTCCAATTGTTGTTTGTTTGCACTGCACCTTATTATTAGCACACTTCCACAATTTTAATCGTTGATAGTAAAATTAGACCAGTGATTCCCAACCAATGCCAGTAGGTTTCAAACCAGTAATGATCCGTTAGAGCCATAGCAAGGCTGGCGGACTAAGTTAATAAATTTTCAATTCAATATTTCACTTTGATATATTCAAAGTGAAGAAAAGGTAAGTAATTAACATATTAATACGTATGATATGGACTAGTCAGTAAATCGCACGCTTTATTTTTTTGGATTAGCATGTTCTGTTTTTAAATCTTAAAGATAGAATTAAGATATAAAGCAGGTCTTGCTGAAAAAGGTTTGGGAATCATTGATTTAGATTGTTAAAAGCATGTAGTTAAAGGTATATCTAGATTATTGTCATGATTAATAAAATATATGACAACAAAGTTAATAGAGATTATGAATACAATAATATATAAATACTCTCTTATAATTATTAATTTTATCAATATATTTTTTTCCATTTCATTTTATAATGTCTATTTTACATTTTTCTATCAGCATATTTGTAGATACAAATAAGTCACTATTTATAATATAGTATAATAGTATTGCAGTAGTTAAATTTCTTAGCATGCACAAGTGGATTAGAAATTATCTACTTTTTAGTAACTTAAGTAGAAGTAAGTGCATGTTTACATATGTACGTATTGGATATTCAAGGTAAGTACTTTCATAATATCGGGTTTATTTGTAAGCACGTATGTACATACACTTTAACGACTAAAATCACCAATCTGTGTGCAGTTTATAGTGATTTGCAAAAATATAATGATTTACAGATGTATGTCAAGGATTATATAATTGGTATTTAACTACTTTAAGTGTTCTGACCTGTTCTCGTCTCAAAATTTATCTGCAGAAATATTGTCATTTAGCATGTATTAATAGAAAAGTTTGTTTATATGTCTGTTTGTTGACGACTGACCAACTAAAGGGATCCTTTGATCCTTAGGGGAAAAAAAAATAAAATAAAAATAGACTGGAAGAAATACTTCTTAAAAGATAAGTCCGCCATTATACTAATTCATTAAACATTAAATAAATTAAAATACTAATCTAAACATTGATTTAGTTGATAGAATGGTTTAGTTTTTCTACCACTGCCAGCCGTAATGTAGTAGTAGTAATAGGCTAAATCTTTCTCTTAGTGAAAGAGATTCATCCCAAACCGTGGGACGAAACTCGTACGTTGAGACGAGTAGATCAGTAGATCATAAGTATGGACGTTAATTATTTTAGAAAACATCACCATCTGTACCATTGCAGTATGTCCCGAATCTTATTTTAAAGAATTATTAAGACTCCTTAATTAGTTACCCATATCGTTAAGTTATATATCATCATTGTTACTTTGGTAATTGATTTTATATTGTTAAGTATATATTTCCCTCATAATAAGTAATAGCGAATAACTTAGAGGCTTTATAGAAATACTATACAATAAAACATACTAACTGTTAAGAAGAATACATATAAATTAATTGAATATTAATAGTACTCACTATATACATTTAACTTCTTAAGAGTAGTACCTATCATAAAATATTATTTATTACTTCCGTATTCAATTCGCATTCTATTAAATTAAAGCTACCTAACGACGTACTTCCATAGTCCACTTTAATTGAGTGTGATTACCTCAAATAACTATTTAATAAATATTTGTACAAATAACTACTTAATCTTCTCATCCGGCATATCTATGCTTTAATCTTTTCTTTTTATCGTGTGGAAAAACCTTCAAAAGACCTTCCCTCCGTCAGAAGGGGTGTGAGATTCTTACCTACTCAAAAAATGTACTTACGAGTACCATGCCGAAATCGCTAGGTAGCGTTACCATTTTTCCGCGATTTATCCTTTCATCCTAATAAAAAGTATTTTTTCTACAAATATTTACATAATATAATATTTTATCTAAATTAAGATTAATTGATATTTGTGTATTATAAAATACAAATAAAGAATTATTTCTAGCTTTACATAATAGCTTGCCATAATATTTAGTCCTAAACTAGTCTTGCCTTTCTATTCATTGATATATCGCTGAAGTTTTAAAAACAATATACTCATAACTGTAATTTCAAATAGGGTAGATAACAAACAATTTAATGCAAGAACGTGATCAATTTATTCTTATGTTTTATCCCTTTTTGGACACTTACAGTAACTAGTCATTCTATTTTTTATTTTGTCTTTCTTGAGATACGTAATTCTGCTAGTGTTGACTTTTGGGCGACCAAACTGCAACATAACAGCCAACACTAGGCTTCCAAGCTATATCTGAACTCTATTCAATGTTTCTAGTTCAAAGGCGAAACACGAGTAGCAATATGGGTGTAGACTCAATAACGGACGAACTTTGATCACCATTAGAGAAGGTAGTAACTGTAGTCAAGTTTCCATACTGAATATTTGTGATCTCACACATGCTGCGGAATGCGGAATTGAAAACAATAATATAAATCCATGAAGTAGTGAAATGGACTTCCGCAAAATAACACCTAAATCGATTAAATATCTTTCTTAAGATGATTACATTACTCGTATATTCACGCCAGGAAACGTTCGTGATAAATAATAATGTATATGTATATATAATAATGAATGAAACGAAATATCCGTGAGAACACAGTCTACGTTCCTTCGTATATTTTCGTGTCTTATATAATAATTTTCATATTCTTAGTACCTAAGCGCTGTAATATATTGCCATAATATCATACAATACTGCCAAATAATTACATTATGAGGATTGCATATAAATATGTATATACATTATATACAATAATATCGCTTTTTAATATATTAAGATGAATATATATTTAATATAATACTATTAGAATTTAGTTGCACTATGTTAATTTCCGCCTCACAATAGCCTCATCAATGTAGCTCAGTTGTCAATAAATAATATTAGTTAATACTGGCATATACGCATTCATCTCATGCCGTCAAACTACAATATTGTACAAATGTGTTGCCACATAATTCAAAAGACCACATTACTGTACATTACCACCAAAATATATTACGTATACACATTATAAAATATGTATAAAAGATGTAGAGCATACATACAAACTATTATGCATGTTATGAAACATGTTTATAACACGAGTTTTGTGTTTAAATGTCACTAGTGTTCTGACAAATAACATATTTGCCGCCATTTATTTTGATGGAAACGCGGAAATGTAACCGGTAAACAGGAATTTATTAAAAAATCTGAAATATTCTATTTTTTAAATTTCGATTATTATACCGACGTAGACTTTACAAAAAGAATAAATAAGATACTCTTTTCGCCTACGAAGTACCGACTTCTGTCTATTTATTTCTGCGGCCAAATAGTTTGCTTTGCAAGCTGTGTTTTGGTTGAAAGATAGATATAAGACAGTGAAATTACAGAATTAGGAGCCATAATAGTTTGTCCCTCTGGAAAGGCAACGCATGAGTGGTATCAGTGATGCTGTACTTGTAAGATAGCACCACGGGCACCCGTGTAGATGATGGCTACCATTTACCATCAAATACGCCGTCAGCTTGTTTGCGAATTATATAAAAAAAACAATAAAAGATTAACAAGTAGTAGAGTAAAATTAAATATTTAAACATGATACTAGACTATACTAATATTAATTGGAATTTATTAAATTACATTACTGGAATAAAATGTAGATCAAATTATATATTTTGTTTAGACGTAACTAAATAGAAAATCTACGTTTACTTGCATAATTTATTTAATGCTATACCACACAAAGCATTTCGTCAGTATTGTGCTAAATTTATTACAACATCGTCCTCGAAAAGCCTCGAGTCTATTTTAAAAAAAGTTTAGTAAAAAATAAATTCCAATTTACATAACGGTAAAGCATATATTTTAAATATTCTTTTTAAAGCAAGCGAACGCGCCATGAATAGAATCATCAGAATTAACAAAATACTTACAGTGGAATTAATTCCCTCCTATTTACCTATAGACGGCTGAAAATAAAACTAGATCTGCACATTATTATGACACAGTTATGGCGAGGTTTTAATTATTTAATAGAGCTTTTCTATATAATAATCGTATATTTAGTTTACCATATAAAGTATTTATAGTGGGTCTATGTAATATGTATAATATAATACATATTTTATCAAATAAGTTTATATATATTAAAATAAAACAATTTAACGAATAGTAGTTGCTTATACGTAGTTAGTGGTAATCACGTAGTTAACTTGTCAGTTTTAGCGGCCTTTACTGTCACGCTCTTATTCATAAAAACATCAAACATCTAAAAACCTATTTTGTTATTAAATAGTTTTGTCCTTTTCTTTCATGCTATTATACCAATCTGTAAGAAAGTGACAAAACATAAGATTCAAATTGGTTTCTAAGAGGTGTTAGTTTTTATGAAAAAGATTTGTGTCATATTTACAAATATAATGAAGCACTGTTGGTCATAATAAATTAATGGTAGTTTACACCTATTTAGTTTTTGATATGCACGTTTTGTTAACACCACATGGTCACAGTTTTCAAACTCACACCACATATATCGTATTTAGTATGCCGCAAAATTGCCTTATCATCTCCAATCCTACAGTAACTATTCGATTAAAATATATCCAAGTTAGAACAATGCATTATATAGACTGATTGTTAACATATACTCATTGTACGCAGATCTGTTTCTGAAATAAAATATGTATATTATTATTTCGTTTAATTTGATGTCCTACTATATATAGTTCAATATACAAGTTTCTTCATAATAAAAGAACGACAAAAGTTATAGAACTGTTAAAAAATCTTCGTAGTACAATTTAAAAACTAATTATTATAACGGTATACGCATAGTGTCTATATAATATATTATAACTCAAAACTGTTACTAAAAATAAACTAAATCATAGAGAAAATAACACAAGTAGGCATAACAAAGTCACCTAATACGGCTATTGCATTTCGTAATTTCTTACAATCCTTTTACTCTCCGGTACGTTGCGGATATATACATGCCAATGTATGTATACATTCACACATATTTATTTACACCCATACA